AGACAATATTTAATATATTGTGTTGTTTACTACTCTAACTGTGCATAAAATATTCAAACTTTGTTATTGTTTAATACTGTTACAGTAAATATATTTGTAATATATTGTATTTTGAATTTGCGTTGTGACTGTGTTTTTAACTGCTGTTCATGTAACAAGTTATTTTAGAATGTGTTACATGATTTAGGTTATGTGTTTATGTACAAACAGATTAATTATCCTTCGTTAAGATACAAAATGTCGTCATGTCAGAATAGACAATATAATGAATATGATGAGAGAGGCAATTGTCACGCCAGAAATTATTTCCCTGTAGACTTGACGTCATCAGAACGTTTTAAATATTGAAAATGATATATGAAGTTGAACAGTGTATAGGTTCCAATTTCTCCATTGTAATTTTTAAATGGGCCAATTAAACACTATGTTGTATTTGGCAAGTTGCATGACATCCAACTACATGTTATCCAATCGAAGTTGGGGACTATCAATTTCGACAAAATTAAATTGAAAATACTTCAAACATACTGATCAACACGTTTTGTTTTCCTTCAGAAATGGTGCTTTCCGAACCTTATAACAAGTGTTGACGTCCAGCTTATTGATTACATTAAGCATTTGGACATGTTTAGTCTAGTAAGCGTTTCAGTAAACGATTTATGTAGTACTTAGTTATACCGGAGATCGATATATATAAGCTGTTCAATTTTTTTATCGAAATCTAATTTCAATCATGTGTTTATGTTATATGGTAATTATAAAAAAATCAATGAAATATTATTTATATTAACCGTTAAGTTAAGCGTTGTTATTACACTAAGCGTTGTTATTACACTAAGCGTTATTACACTAAGCATTGTTATTACACTAAGCGTTGTTATTACACTAAGCGTTGTTATTACACTAAGCGCTGTTATTACACTAAGCGTTGTTATTACACTAAGCGCTGTTATTACACTAAGCGCTGTTATTACACTAAGCGTTGTTATTACACTAAGCGCTGTTATTACACTAAGCGTTGTTATTACACTAAGCGCTGTTATTACACTAAGCGTTGTTATTACACTAAGCATTGTTATTACACTTAGCGTTGTTATTACACTAAGCGCTGTTATTACACTAAGCGTTGTTATTACACTAAGCGCTGTTATTAAACAAAGCGCTGTTATTACAATAAGCGTTGTTATTACACTAAGCGCTGTTATTACACTAAGCGTTATTATTACACTAAGCGCTGTTATTACACTAAGCGTTGTTATTACACTAAGCGTTGTTATTACACTAAGCGTTGCAGACGTTAGTAGATGAAAAGGCTTAATATATTAATACTTACATGTATTGTTGTTACTTGTAAGCTTTTCAACATAGAGTCTATGTGAAAGAAATTGCACTTTCATCTGGATAATAAAGATTTTGTAGTTTTGACGATATGTACATTGAGTGTGAGGGTGTTTGTGTGTGTAATTTAATCTGATATCATTAGTTTTGCCATTATTTAGATACTTTAATTATTAATAATTCTTAAAAAATAACACGTAAGATAAATTTAATTTTCATTGGAAATAAATTGATCAATTTCTAAATAGTATTATAGAATTATTAGATAACCTTTACCCAATTCTCTATGAGAAACGAAGAAAACGTAAGGGCGGTCAGATAATTTTTGAATGACACTCAAAAAGTGGCCCTAAACGCTTATATCGTTCACATAGTCCACGTTTCTTTTGTTTTATAAAGAGATGAATTTCAGTTTTGTATTTATATTGCTTTGAATAGTGGGAACTTAAGATTACTAAGTTTATCTGAATACGTAAATAATTTATTTTATTTAAAAGTTGGGCTGTGACTAAGGTAGGAAAATGGGAATGAAAATTTACACGCATTAGCTGTACATATTAAGTAAAGGTTGTTATTAAAAGTAAAGTTCCAGAGATCGTTTTGTAAAATAAACTAATAAAAAAGTTGAAAACGAATGACCACGTAGCTTAAAATGTATGTAAAATCTCGAGTTTATTTTTAAGATCGTTTTTGAAAGCGTTTTGTCATACAAGGTATTTTTAGGGTTCGAAGGGTTATGAAAAAAAATTGTATTTTTTTAATGTTTTGGAATGCATATTAATGGTATTTCATTTTTCAATGATAACGTACACAATATTAAAACATATTCCCAAACAATAACTACATGTATATTATGATATGTACAAAAAATGTTGTTTTTGCTCATGTATGCCTGATATATTTTTAAAAAGCCTAAGAATGATATCTTATAAAAGCAAAATATATTTAGAGCCATCTTTGTCAAAAATACACTTGAGGTGTAACATACTTTTAATATACATAAGATATTGTTATTTTTGCTAATAAACCTTCACGTTTGATAAGTCGCATTGTATCTTTTGTTATTGCACGTGAAATCGACATTACATGCAGCTGAAACACAGTTCAAATCATTGATTACGATCTTTAGTTACTTCACTTTGGGTAAATCGAAGGGACGCAACAAGTAACTCTTCTGTGACTTGATGCAGTGGTCTGTATGTATTACTAGTGCTACACTACTGACAAGTACAACGTGTCTTCGTTCTGTAGATACGTCACAGCTTGCTGGTGTTGACTTGACGCCGACCTACAATGACAGTACAATATATCGGTGATCTGTAGATACGTCACAGCTTGCTGGTATTGACTTGACACCGACCTACAATGACAGTAAAATGTATCGGTGATCTGTAGATACGTCACAGCTTGCTGGTGTTGACTGGGCTTCGAACTACAATGACAGTACAATGGTTCGGTGATCTGAACTGGACACCATTCTAGAATGAAACCACAATTGATGGGTAGTCTGAACACGACTCCAACTGGACACCATTCTACAATAACGTATTAAAGTAGGGTAGTCTAGCAATAATTCGACTTCTCTGAAGGTATATTTAAGTACGAATAAACCTTCATTGTGGATTATTGTTTCATTCCATGTAGAGATGGTTATTTCTTCAGTAAAACAATCGATTTTCTGAAATTTAACTATCTGTAAACTAAATGGTTATTTTCTAGTATCAGAGAAAAAAATATTTCTATCTGTAAATACTGTGATAATCTAAAGGATACGTTTTGGTATGTTTCTACAAAGAAAAGGAAATTTTGGTTTCCGGAATTTAGAAGTAAATGCATTAAAACTGAGGGCAGCAATGGTCTTTTGGTATCTGAAAGTGGGATATATGGATCAGTTAAGTATCGTCTTGCCTTTTTTATTAACACAGGTATAAAATAATCTCAACAAGAATGCATTTGTTTTATTTGAATATATTTATATAACCCATTGCTCGTAAAATATAATATGGCATCATGGCAGTGAAACAGATCCCTTTATATATTCTCGATGTCAAGGTAGGCAGGATGAGATGTATGACACAGCACCAAGACGGCTCATGGAATTCACTGTAACATACTGTACCTATTACCACATTTCATAGGTGCAATCACGTGCGTGTGTGTCTTGTGTTCATCTATGAAGACCTCTTACCAAGGACGTTCTTGATGTTAGTGTATGATTTAATATCACATGAAAAAAAACCGTTCATAATTAACAACAAAACTGTTGGGGTTAGGTATTTGTTTTCTTTAAAATACATGCATACTAATTAAACATTTCAGATAAATTCACGACAAAGATGACTTTATAGACATTTCTAAAAATATGCTTTGGTATCAAATTTAAACCTTTGCTCTTCCGTGTTTTTGCCTGTAAGTATTGTCAAGTGGGTTCATGGGTTCAGTTATAAAAAAAAGGGGAAAAAACAACAACTAGGAATCCAATACATGGGATGTCAGTTGTAGAGTGCAGATAGCGGCTTACCTGAAGATTTACAAACATTTTCCTACAAGCCAAGCTCCTAAGTAGCTTACAAATTGAAGAGCCATGGACGAGCGATACCGTGAACTATTCACCTGGGGTGTCTCGGTGAGAGAATTCTATTTTGGAATTACTTTATAAAAATGTCCTCTTCCACTGTCACCTTCCGTAATACTTCGTTTATAGGCATGTCGTAATCAGATATAGATCCTGTGTCAATGCCAAGCAGCTACAGGGTTTTAACTACACGTGTGCATGGTCTATTAGTGAACATCCTTTTTGATGTGTTACAGGAATGTGCATTTAAGTCAATTCATTTTAAATACATATATAGAAAAAACAAGAGAGCAGTGGATACCAAGGGCATGGCTTTCTAGGTAAGCCACTGATTCAAATGTTAGACACGGCAATCAGTACGCCACTCGGTAACCTTAAGGAAGTAAATTAGGACTCAACTACCACATCTTCAATACCCAAGGTCAAAAACCAAGGTCAAAGTAGAAACAAAAACTACAGAAATGGAGGAGAAATCAAGAACATTGTGAACCGCACATTATCGTGTCTCCTGACAACACATGTCGTACTCAATAGATGTGTCCTGTCACCACATGTGGTACCTGTTATGATGTCTCATTTCACCATATGTGGTACCCGTTATGCTGCATCCTGCCACCACATGTGGTACCCGTTATGCTGTATCCTGTCACCACATGTGGTACCCGTTATAATGTATCCTGTCACCACATGTAGTACCTGTTATGCTTTATCCTGTCACCACATGTGGTACCCGTTATGCTGCATCCTGCCACCACATGCAGTACCCGTTATGCTGTATCCTGTCACCACATGTAGTACCCGTTATGCTGTATCCTGTCACTACATGTAGTACCCGTTATGCTGTATCCTGTCACCACATGTGGTACCCGTTATGCTTTATTCTGTCACCACATGTCGTACCCGTTATGATGTGTCCTGTCACCACATGTGGTACCCGTTATAATGTATCCTGTCACCACAATTAGTACATGTTATGCTTTATCCTGTCACCACATGTCGTACCCGTTATGCTGTATCCTGTCACCACATGTGGTACCCGTTATGCTGTATCCTGTCACCACATGTGGTACCCGTTATGCTGTATCCTGTCACCACATCTGGTACCCGTTATGATGTTTACTGTCACCACATGTAGTACCCGTTATGATGTTTACTGTCACCACATGTAGTATTTGTCATGGTGTCTCCTGTCACCACATGTAGTACCCGTTATGCTGTGTACTTTCTTAAGCGTCGCTTAAAGTCTGTCCGATACAAAAACTTGCTAAGTAGTTTAGTTGGCAACAGGATGTAGTAGAGAGATATCGTTAAACACGTGCAATGTCAGCACGTGTCTGAACGCACGCACCCGCCGCCATAAGGATGCGCATTTTAAACAGCAATAGGTTACACCGGATAATCCTGTTTTGTACACCTTTATTTGTTTTTATTGGTTACCTTGTCACGATCCGAAATTGGTTAAACGGTATGAAATTAAACGACAATAAATATGTTGATATGAAAAACCAATCATTTCCTCAGTAAGCGTTTATCGTAGGCTGGAATCAGAACAGTCTCGCTTCACCGGCTGGCGTAAATCATTAAGAACGCTCAATTTCACCGCCATATTTGTGGATCGAGGTAAAGATGAAAATCGATAGGAAATTCAGGTATACTGAACAGTATTACAACCAACAGCATACTTCCCAGCTAAAGAGCACGTGACAAGGTACACGAGACGGGAATGAAGCACGCCCTTATATATTATAGATGTGTGGAGCTGTGAACAGGTAATTTTGAATCTCCAACAGAATACGTGAAAGACGACGTCCAACTCAGCAGTTCAACCAGGTCATGATGACGCTGGTGTAAATGGGTGTTGGTTCCAACACCACGACGGTCGTACCGGGGGTAACGCCAGCTGACCTGGGGGTAGTGCACCCGTGTAACTACTCATACCTATGCACGGAGGAGTCGTCGTTCCTTGGAGCTGATCTCCTCCAATTTGCCCCGTGTCCACCTCCCTGGAAGAAAGATTTGTTGTGGGAAGTAGCTAAACAGAAGGGGTTAGCAGATGATGAGACAGAACAGATAGCCTCGAGGTGTGTTATTCCCCTGCCACAGGCACCCGGCCAGTGCGGGTCGTCGTGCATCGCCATCTCTGTTATAAGCGGATGTATACTACTGACGATATGCTTCGCTATTTTGTGCTGGTGCAGGTAAATATTTCACGGTTCGTTTACTTAACATGAACTACGACATAGCTAGTGAAAGCACTTAACACTGAGTTCATTTTATGAAGTTAAAATAGTGTTTTCTGAACCACTGCATACCTTCAACAAGTATCAATGTATACCATCTCGTTAGTTAACAACGGGTACTTCAACCACAAAAACCAGTGCATTGTCTCAGTATAGTTCAACACGACACAATGTACATTATCTCGGTATAGTTCACCACGACACAATGTACATTATCTCGGTATAGTACACCACGACGCAATGTACATTATCTCGGCATAGTACACCATCACACAATGTACACTACCTCGGTATAGTACACCACCACACAATGTACATTATCTAGGTAAAGTACACCCCGACACAATGTACATTAGCTCGGTATAGTACACCACCACACAATGTACATTATTTCAGTATAGTTCAACACGTCACAATGTACATTAACTCGGTATAGTACACCACGTCACAATGTACATTATCTAGGTAAAGTACACCACGACACATTGTACATTATCTCGGTATATAACACCACGACACAATGTACATTATCTCGGTATAGTACACCATCACACAATGTACATTATCTCAGTATAGTTCAACACGACACAATGTACATTATCTCGGTATATAACACCACGACACAATGTACATTATCTCGGTAAAGTACACCACCACACAATGTACATTATCTAGGTAAAGTACACCACGACACAATGTACATTATCTCGGTATAGTACACCATCACACAATGTACATTATCTCGGTATAGAACACCACGACACAATGTACATTATCTCGGTATAGTACACCACCACACAATGTACATTATCTCGGTATAGTACACCATCACACAATGTACATTATCTCGGTATAGTTCAACACGACACAATGTACATTATCTCGGTATAGTACACCACGACACAATGTACATTATCTCTGTATAGTACACCACGACACAATGTACATTATTATCGGAATAGTACACCACCACACAATGTACATTATCTCTTTATAGTACACGACACAATGTACAGTATCTCTGTATAGTACACCACGACACAATGTACATTATTATCGGTATAGTACACCCCCACACAATGTACATTATCTCGGTATAGTTCACCATCACACAATGTACATTATCTCGGTATAGTACGCCGCGACACAATGTACATTATCTCGGTATAGAACACAACGACACAATATACCTTATCTCGGTATGTTACACCATCACACAATGTACATTATCTCCGTATAGTACCCCATCACCCAATGTACATTATCTCGTTATAGAACACCACCACACAATGTACATTATCTCGGTATAGTCCACCATCACACAATGTACATTATCTCGGTATAGTACACCACGACACAATGTACATTATCTCGGTATAGTACATGATGACACAATAGATTTTTTTGATTATGAAATTAATGTCAATAAATTTTATCACAGCTGCACATCATTAAGTACCGATAATCTTATTTATCCTTCCATTAAAATAAACACTTATTGTAATAACAAAAATCTCACGGGAACACCATTTTATCGATAACTCATTAATACAAACAGTGCGGTGGTTAATAGACCTCATTCAACAAGAATAAACGAAATCCAAACAATGATGGGCGTTATACATATGTACAGTTCTGGTTGTATGACGCATTAGCTATTACTCTTGAAAAGTGTTGAAAAAAATAGATAAAAGTTAATATTCTATCTATATAATCAGTCACTAGTCTTCCTGTGAATGACACATCAGCAGTACAAACAAGATATACTGGTATTTCTGGTGTATATAATGCCGCGTCCTTTTGTTTGTTCTTTACCATGTTGGTTTTCTATATTATTTGAATGTCGTCAGCTGTCACACTTTTTTATTTTATGTATTGTTCTATGGTCTACTATAGGCCTATGCCAAGCATGCATCCACTGCTATATATTTTTACTAGAAATTCCATAGTCGTTTTCTGTCTCGGGAACTCGCATTAATCTGAAGTCCGATGTACTCCACTTATCGTTACTAAAACAATTTCTTTTTCACACGCCCCTGTGATGCTTCAGTAATGCTGTTTGTAGAGACGACGTTTGTTGATTTTTAATAAAATATAAATGTAAAAATAGAATACACACTATCGATTATTATTGTCTGATATGCACGTCGTCAGAGTAATGCAATCTGTTTGCTAGCACTTTTTAAATACGTCATAACTGGAGAGAAATTGAAGCGTCAAATCTTGTCGAACAAAGTGTTTCCACAGCTTAAGTAACGGGAAAATTACTTACCAAAGTTTTGACTTTCGCCGCTCCAGAAGTTACATCGTCTCCGTTACCTAAAACCGAGTACTCGCGGCTTTGAGCTGCTTATCCTGTCTTAACATCTGCGCCCAGTTTTGTCCTTAAATGTTCTTGTGGTACTAAATCCGTTAGCTCAAGTACGGGTCTCGGAGTTGGCATTTACTTTTAAATACTGGGTCTTTTGAAGACATCACAGATGCAGCTAATGTAACGTACATATTTTAACTGTAGTTCAGTTTTAGCTCCTATAGCGCTTTAAATATTGCGCTAAATTGTGAATGCGCCAATTGAAATTCTTGTACATGTATATTGTCTATTGCATATTTCCGAAATGCGCCTATCTATTCGATAATGCGCTTGAGTGCCCTAAAAGAAGTACGTTTACATTACCGTTTACATATCGGACTACTACTGTTGGATGGGGAAGCAATTTAAGGATAAGGCTTCATTAGAGAACAATATTGTTTGAACTTGAGTCCAACCATATTGCTTTAATTTAAAAATGATGAGGTGTTTAAATCAAAGAACTGCCAGCTGATATATCCAAATACTTCATTGTCAAAGTCTACAGGATTCACCGTCACTGGAGAACAGCCTAGACCTGTTTGTACACCAAACAATCACAAATCAGCCTAGACCTGTTTGTACACCAATCACAAAACAGCCTAGACCTGTTTGTACACCAAACAATCACAAAACGGCCTAGACCTGTTTGTACAACAAACAATCACAAAACAGCCTACACCTGTTTGTACGCCAACCAACCACAAAACAGCCTAGCCCTGTTTGTACGCCAACCAACCACAAAACAGCCTAGAACTGTGTGTACACCAAACAATCACAAAACAGCCTACACATGTTTGTACACCAAACAATCACAAAACAGCCTAGACCTGTTTGTACAACAAACAATCACAAAACAGCCTAGACATGTTTGTACACCAAACAATCACAAAACAGCCTAGACCTGTTTGTACGCCAACCAACCACAAAACAGCCTAGACCTGTGTGTACACCAAACAATCACAAAACAGCCTAGATATGTTTGTACACCAAACAATCACAAAACAGCCTAGACCTGTTTGTACACCAAACAATCACAAAACAGCCTATACCTGTTTGTACACCAAACAATCACAAAACAGCCTAGAACTGTTTGTACACTAACCAATCACAAAACAGCCTAGATCTGTTTGTACACCAAACAATCACAAAACAGCCTAGAACTATTTGTACACTAAACAATCACAAAACAGCCTAGACCTGTTTGTACACCAAACAATCACAAAACAGCCTAGACCTGTTTGTAAACCAAACAATCACAAAACAGCCTAGACCTGTGTGTACACCCATCACAAAACAGCCTAGAACTGTTTGTACACCAAACAATCACAAAAAAGCCTAGACCTGTGTGTCCACCCATCACAAAACAGCCAAGAACTGTTTGTACACTAAACAATCACAAAACAGACTAGACCTGATTGTACACCAAACAATCACCAAACAGCCTAGACCTGTTTGTACACCAAACAATCACAAAACAGCCTAGACCTGTGTGTACAACAAACAATCATAAAACAGCCTAGACCTGTTTGTACACCAAACAATCACAAAACAGCCTGGACCTGTTTGTACACCAACCACTCGCAAAACAGCCTAGACTTGTTTGTACATCAACAAATCACAAAACATCCTAGACCTGTTTGTACAACAAACAATCATAAAACAGCCTAGACCCGTTTGTACACCAAACAATCACAAAACAGCCTAGAACGGTTTGTACACCAAACAATCTCAATACAGCCAAGAACGGTTTGTACACCAAACAATCACAAAACAGCCTAGACCTGTTTGTACATCAACCAATCACAAAACAGCCTAGACCTGTTTGATTAGTACATGATTTTTAGCGATACATGTATTCCATTTTTGACATTGAACTTGTCTACATATAAGTCTGTATTTTTGGCTGTCACATACCACATTAATTTACACTGAGCTAAAAGTGTGTTTTGTTAGGGTAAGATTTGATGGAAAATGTGAAATGTGAGCAGAGACATATACGTCTCTGATGGGGTTGTTTTCTGGTATACAAGTATAGCACTCGCCTTTCAAAATTTGTCTGGTCAGACTGATGAAGATGCTGGTTATTTTTGTAGGAGAAGAGGCATGGTAAGAAAGAGTCCAAGATCAACCAACCAAAACAATACAGATCACGTACAGGTAAAAGGCGCTGATGTTATAACGACCTAATATTTACCCACGAAAAACATTTACTTGTGGTTCTATATGTGCACTTATTGTATTGCTGAGTGTTATTTATGTGTAGAACCATGTCCTAGGACGTGTTACATTAAATATATACACTTGGATCACAGTATTGTATGTAATCTAATGATGCTATAGTTAAAAAAATAAACAGATCTTTTGCAAAATATTTCGTTTAAATAATGACTGATCAAATTTATGCCAAAACATATCTGTCCGTTTTATAAATATATATATGTGAAGGCGGGCAACAAAGAAAACTTTCCGTGTTACGATATAGTTTAGGTACACTAAGGTTTTTCTGACACCCATGTCATCAAATCACGCGAAGTGTGTCACAAGTTACACCGTATCATTATAGATTCACAATGCTTTTCACGCCAATTTTCTTTCTCACAAACCCACTGGCAGAGGCGTAGCTAGCCCTTGCTTGGAGTGGATCAATTAAGGAGCGGGTCCAGTGGGCCTGAAGCCAAACTACCTTCTGGCAGAAAATTTAAATTAAATTTAAAGATTTATGTCTCGGGATCATTTTTCAGAGGGTAACTCGCTCAGTCATTCCAAAATTGAAACATTCTACAACGAACTCTTCTTTTAATTGTATTTTACATCATGCAGTATGCTTCAGGCAGTGTTTTTTGTTGTTGTTGGTTTTCTTTCTTTGAAATTTGGTGTAGCCACCTACATACCAGCGTACAGACAGCTACACGCCTGACTATGCAGTGGCGGATCCAGAGGGGGTTTCTGGGCTTCAGGAAACCCCCCCCCCCTGAGAATTTTCTTTAAAAATCATGTATTTTCACCATTTTCCTCAATTTTTCCCCATGTGGAAACCCCCCCAGATAGGTCTCTGGATCCGCCACTGCTATGATAATAATAATTGGAGGTTCTTATATACCGCTTTATCACATCCTAGTTCGTAGGGCGTCTCAAAGAGGTTCACAAATTATTATCCGTGGTTATAGGGCCTTTGCAACCAGCAATTACATTGCTCAACTCCCTGGGGAGCATACAGCCGGAGCTGCCATATCGGCGCTAACAGCTAGCATTCAACAATTCTAGCACTGCCCAACCACATACTCATTTTCAGCCGAGTAGACTGGAACAAGCGGAGTAAAGTATCTTGCTCAAAGATACAACACATTGCCGTGCCGTGGGGCGAACCCGCAACCCTTCGGTCACGAGCCCATCGTCCTACCACTGGACTACCGTGCCTCCCAAAGACTAGACATTATCGGTGATAAAGTGATAGTTTGATTAATTTGGATACATATCAGCTCCGACATCTCCAAAATAGACACAATAGTGTTGCATTCTACATCTATTGCATTTTAAGGTCATAGACCAAGGTCAATGGTCATGCGGCCATGCATCCTGCTATGACATTTTTAAACCACATAAGTATCAGTCTGGTTCAAGAATATAGTGTTTTACATGTGCTAGCCCGAGTTTCCTCTGGCTCCTACACCAGACTAAGGACATTTTGACAGACAAATGTCTGGTGTGGGTTAGGGTTAATCCACATTTTCATATAGCAGTGCGCTCTGGCCCCACGTTCACGCCAGACATCTATCTGTCAAATTGTCTAAGTCTGGTGTTGGGGCCAAAGGAAACGCGGGCTTGAAGTTTTTTGTGAGAAGGCAATATATATACATTTCCTCATATTGTGGAAAAGTCCTCTTGTTCCCTTTCATACTGTTTTCAAACTTGAGATTACTCATCACTGATAAGATTGTGTGCTTGGTTGTAGGCGACTGTCCAGACCCGGAAGGCAGACCCCGTGTATGAGGAGTTCCAGGAGGGCCGTGTGCACTACAGCAACATAATGGAGAGTGCCTATGACAATCCTGCCTACACTAGTGACCTCACCACCGACCACGCCCGCAGTAACAGTGATACCAGTAACAACAGTCACACCCAACTCAACGGCACAGCAGCCAATCAAAATAACAATAAAGCCAACATCAACGAGGACGTCAGGCTATAAAACATGACACTGTGGTAACAGTCACACCCAACTTAACGGCACAGCAGCCAATCAAAATAACAATAAAGCTAACATCAACGAGGACGTCAGGCTATAAAACATGACACTGTGGTAACAGTCACACCCAACTTAACGGCACAGCAGCCAATCAAAATAACAATAAAGCCAACATCAATGAGGACGTCAGGCTATAAAACATAACACTCTGTGGTAACAACAGTCACACCCAACTCAACGACACAGCAGCCAATCAAAATAACAATAAAGCCAACATCAATGAGGACGTCAGGCTATAAAACATGACACTCTGTGGTAACAACAGTCACCCCCAACTCAACGGCACAGCAGCCAATCAAAATAACAATAAAGTCAACATCAACGAGGACGTCAGACTATAAAACATGACACTCTGTGGTAACAAGTCTGGTCTAGTGAAGATGATGCTGGGAAATTACTGTACGTGTATATAATTGTTACTATTTGTAATTAGAGTGGACTCTCATTAATCAGTCACAGGAAGATAATCTGGTCAGGACTTGTTTCCTCTATATATATTATAACAGCAGTGTATTGATCCTTAGACGAAGAAATATAAAAAAAAAAAAAAATCTCAACAATATGTCATTAACACTTTCATCAAATCAAGAACAGAACATATGTGTGCAACAAAAACTTTATAAAAAGTCAAACATGTCTACATGTATGTACTTTAAATGACAGATCAATGGATATTTGGTGTACATATGCAAAGATATTTCGAATTGTCAATAAGTTATTGTGTACAATACTAGAGGAACCAGTGTCTGTACTCAATTGTTCCCTATTTTCTACAGAAAATGTAACTTTTATTAAGGATAGACCGACAGAGTTTATTACCCCTTTGAGATAAATCTAGGAATCTGATTGGTTAAAAACTACAGTGTACCAAACCGCATTCGTAAATCTCTGGGGGTTTACGAAATCTCAAGGGGTATACGGTCATGTCACGTGATTCTCAGCAGTAATACGATGGAATCACGTGATTTTACAAGGGGTATACGGGTCACGTGTCTTTGTATCTTGCAGCCGGGCAATGGGAGACAACTCGCATTCGTCGTCTGCTTCGCTGTTTACAAAATGGCAAAACGTTTCGCTTAGCTTTCTTTGTTTTTATTATAAAATACTCAAAGGGGTTATAAATTCGTTACACAGATTTTTGGCAGGGGATACATGATGGTATGACCCTACAGGATTTTGTATTTCCTTCGGCCTATCGGGCTCGGGAATTACGAAACGCTGTAGGGTCATACCGTCCTGTATACCCTGCCAAAATTCTGTGTAACTAATATTCAGCATGTTAGATATGGTACTCCTGAATTTGAAATATAATTATGAAGTTTTATATGTATAACAGAAACGGGCTATTCCTGTGCTGTAAGTGCAACAATTTATAACTTTAGCAAGTTGATGTCAAATTTTGTAAATATTTGCCAAAGTGAATAAGGTACATTGTATATACCAGTAATACTAATTAGTGCAGCCAAACTGGGCAAGGTCAATCTTCGGCGACCAGGTAGCTCAGTTGGTAGAGCCTCTGTCTGGTTTTCGGGGTCTCCGGGTTCAGGTCCCAGGTTTGGCCGTGCATTCCTCATTCCTGTTACAGTGGTGCCTGTGACCAAACCTTGTTTCAGTAAGGTAACAGAACTGGACTGGGTAAATCACTGGAGACCATGTAGTTCAATTAGTAGAGCTTCTGTCTTGAGTTTAGAGGGTCCCAGGTTCGGATACCGGTCTGGCTGTTCATTTTTCTCCTCTCCTGTTAGATAATTGTATGTGGTCCAATTCTACAAATGGTGACTTATTTTTTGCCTTTCAATAAACTCACTGTTTTAAATGCCATAACTAAAATGTGACTAAGAAAAAAAACGAAAAAAAATTTCACCCTCAAATGAATTTGTCTTTCTATTTTAGTACCAAATCATGTCACCTCTAACTGCAGTGTTACATACAGATAGGATCTTAATGAGTTTTCATTTCATGTGAGATTTTATGAAACGAGTCTTAGGAGTTTTTATTTTTGTGAGCCTTGGTGAGCAAAAATTAACTTTGAGACGAGTTTCATATGAAATGAAAACAAATTTAAGATACTTTTTATCACATAACTCAGAAAACTTACATTTTGACTGGTTTTAAAGCCAAAATGTAGAGGGCTTATAATCAAACGGAGACAGCAATTTTGTTGCGCCAATCTCAATTTATGACGTCACGTCTTTGTCCATATTATGACGTCACAATCTATTTCTGACTGGCACAGCCAATGAAAAACGCTCCAGGGTATATTACTCTATTGACATATGTAAATATATTACACGGGCGAATTCACTGGATAAAAGGCTGATTATGTGATAAAAAGAACCTCTGTCCAATAAAACCATTTGTATTTCATCTATAGAGAACCAATGGTTGTAATGGTTCTGACACGACTAGAATGATTCCAACCAAAAAATATACACCATTAAAACAAAGTATTTTATGTACAGGTATTAGGTATGAGTTTAATTTCTAACAAGAAAGCAGGTCAAACTTGATAGTTCTGCACACCAGCAAGTTACAGTTCGAACACATTACTCTGAAACTCATGGATATTTAGAAGCTGTTTAAAAGTCTTAACATTATTTACCCTTGCAAACTTGAAACTAAATCATAGCCATTTATTCCAAAGGAGTTTATAGTATCCTTTTTCTTAGTAATAATGGCAAACCATTATTTCTTCATTCCAAAAAGCTATTAGGAAAATGTTGTTACCCTAGGTCTTGTTAAGAAAAAGAGCCTTGAAGATGTAACATGTTTGTCTCCTGTGACTTTGAAACTGTCCATCAACTAAACAAGCCCTGTCAGCACCAGATAAGGAACTCTTTTGGCTACATATGAAATTAAAAATCATAGTACAAACAATAATATGTATTTACATGCAAGATCACACACACACACACACATCCACATCTATACACTCTAACATCATTACACACCAATTAACACACCAAGGCAGAGATATACCGACCCACCAGAAACTACCAACCACATCCAGACAACTCCCCAGACATACCTCAACACACACACACACACACACTCGCTGTACAGATCTGTACTAGGTATAGCTAGCCAGCACATTAAAGAAGTGATAAACTTCGCCCTGGTCATACACACCCACACACACTCGCTGTACAGATCTGTACTAGGTATAGCTAGCCAGCACATTAAAGAAGTGATAAACTTCGCCCTGGTCATACACACACACACACACTCGCTGTACAGATCTGTACTAGGTATAGCTAGCCAGCACATTAAAGAAGTGATAAACTTCGTCCTGGTCATACACACCCACTACTGTGTTACACTCTGTACATCTGACGGGATTGAAAATGTCCTTGGAAGTCTCCGTATCAGTTTCCTGGTTCCCAACAGCATCCATTCTAGTCTCTAAACCAGTATCAACTAGCCCAGCCTCTAGACCAGTCACTTCTGCTCCAGTGGCTGAACCACTAAAACTATTACCAGACCTTTTCAATTTCTTCAACTTCTTTTTAGAAATCTTTGGTTGCTGTTCTGGATACTTAAGAAGTTCTGATTTGTCTACAGCACAGTTCATCACAAACATAGCTCTGTACTGATTCTCGAAGGAGGTGTGTCTGAAAAACAACAAAACAGTCATCAAACATAGCCCTGGACTGATTCTCAAAGGAGGAGTGTCTGAAAAACAGCAAAATAGTCATAAAACATAGCCCTGTACTGATTCACGAAGGAGGTGTGTCCGAAAAACAGCAAAACAGTTATCAAACATAGCCCTGTACCGATTCTCAAAGGAGGTGTGTCTGAAAAACAGCAAAATAGTCATAAAACATAGCCCTGTACTGATTTTCAAAAAAGGAGTGCTTGGCAAACTGCCAAGCACTCCTTTTTTGAAAATCAGTACAGGGCTATATTTGATGACTGTTTTGCTGTTTTTCTGACACACCTCCTTCGAGAATCAGTACAGAGATATGTTTGTGATGAACTGTGCTGTAGACAAATCTGAACTTCTTAAGTATCCAGGACGGCAACCAAAGATTTCTAAAAAGAAGTCGAAGAAATTGAAAAGGTCTGGTAATATATATATATGGTATATACTGTTGCATATATATATCCTATATGCCACAGTATTTACCATATATATATCCTATATACCACAGTATATAATTCTCAAAGGAGGTGTGTCTGAAAAACAGCAAAACAGTCATCAAACATAGCCCTGTACTGATTCTCAAAAAAGGAGTGCTTGGCAAACTGCCATCAATAGTCATAAAACAAAGTGGAACCCTTAAGGATCTGAAAACATTTCATACTGATCCACATAAGTCAATAACTAAAGCAATATTAGTTCTTGAAAATATTACCAATGTCAATCAAAATACAACATAGCATACCTCCTTTGTCTTGTTATGTTCCTAAAACGTAAACATGAATTACCTCTGACAATCCCGACAGAGTGTGCTCATACAGGCAGGACAGTCCAAGACAGCATCGCTGCGCGGCAGGCGTCGCTGAACTTTCTGAGTGCCTGACGTACCTGGCTGATATTGATGCCTCCTCTTATCAACCCATTCCTGATCTTGGTCATCCATATCAGGGTCATACAGAAGGTCGTCATTACTGATGACAGTTTTCTTCTTAACACGCTCATCACCTACCAATCATACACCAGACAACAACAGTATTAATGTATAATGCCCTTCAAAGAATTCACATACAGTTGTATTATAATCTAGTAATCTGTTTTATCAGCTTAAATGCTCATGCCATTCTAAAAAAGAGGCAACATTATACAACCACCTGTTATTAACCTACACATTGGATTGAGATGAAGATGTGTATGCCCTAAGTAAGCAACATTGTTATAAGGAGGTGACAAATCTCTGATCTGATTTCTAAAATGCTTACAACAAATCAAACGGCCAAAGTCTATGAGAAATGGCAGGTTGTGAAATTGTTAAATGGAATCAACCAGTGCATGAGCTGTGCCTGAACAAAATTGTGTACATGCAAAATTCTTGTGCAAATTATCTCCCTTGGTCTACAAGATCTCCCAAAATATAAGGAGATACAAGTTGATTCCACTGGACATTGATGATGGTTAGGCCATTGGTTTATTAGAAGCTGTTCTTGAGGTTGTTAAGTATCATTTAATATTTAGATTTTATAACATGCAATAATTATAACCTGACGAAAGTTCTTCCACAATTAGAATTCCGAGTTTGACAAATATTGTTATAAAGAAATATATGACATTCTAATACTTCCAAAAAAATACATAATTCTTGAGATTGTGCTGCCATGAATTACCTTTAAGACACCAGGTTTGGCGTTGTGCACATACCTTGCGTCACCATTACATACCTTGCGTCACCATTACATACTTGCGTCACCATTACATACCTTGCGTCACCATTTCCTCTTCATCCGAGTCAAAGTACACATCATCGTAGTGTCTCTCCTGTCCCTTCACAGCTTTGCTGGACTTGGAACTCTCACCTTGACACTGCACTTTCTTTCCTTACAGTGAAAATACATTTTCAGTATCGGAAAACATGCAGAAGTAAATATTTGTGCCAATTTGTTGTAGGTTTTACATCTTTAGATTACTATACACATATACAGTTAGTAAGTAAACACTGGAATAGAGTTCCTCACAGTTAAATAATGAGTAGCAAAAGTCAGTGAAACATCACATGACAGTAAGTCTGTTGATACAGTTGTTATATCTGTGTATCTTGTTATGTATCCAAACTTCAGTGTGGCCTTGGCCACTAGCTGTCAAATATACCATGTCATTTAACATCTATAGCACTCTTTCAGAATCTGCTCTATAAGAGTCAGAGTGTCTATTGGTTTAAAACTTGTCAAGTCTAGTGTTCTATGCTGGAGTTAAGGGAGTTTATCTCTAGGGAAATCAAAAATGTGCAACACAAGATTTCGCTGTTTTTAGAGATGTACTCATCTTTAACAAGCAACTAAATATGTCAAGGCTATTGTAGACATACCTGTCTTAAACTTTTGTCCACATCTTTCTGCTTCTATTGCCTTGACTGTGTCATTCAGTTCTTCATTCATTTCCTTCTCAAACTCATCCTCACTGGATAACTCTGGTTTCTTACTGCAGCGAACTGTGAGTTTTCTCTTTAACTCTGGGGTACCATTTAGAACAATATCCAATCCACCTTCATCTGAAGAACTGTAATGTACATTTTAATAGTATTTCAAAGCATGCACATTTTCTCTTCTTTTTCTGAACTACTTTCATCCCACATCAGAGCAGGGAATTGTGATACAAATTTTGAGTGTGGGATTATGACATCGACCTTGATGAGCAGGCCTAAGGATTTGTGTGATAAACCTGAAGAAGTGGGGGTTCTGATCTCAACTTTGATAACAGTATCCAACCCACCTTTATCTGTAAGCTGAAGTTCAAATGCAAGACATAACCAGCATATATTCTTTTATTATTACTGGTGACATAAAAGTATTTTAAAGAATAAACATTCATCATGGTTCCACATCAGAGCAAAAAATTGGGATATAAATCTTGTTGTGCGTTGGATTTTGATGTCATTTATGTGGAATGGGGTATTGCAAGATCAACATTGAGGAGCATTACAAAAGTTGGTTTTATCAATTTCTAGGAATGGATATCGTTGATTGCATGGGTAACAATCCGGAGGCGCAGAAATTTCAGTTGCATATCCGCATTCAGGAAAGGTGACATTGTAATATCAATCTTGAAAAGTTGGAGGTTCGGGACCGTTCCAGTTATGACATCTCAGATCTGTGCACTTACAGGAGAAATATAAAAAGCATTTGGGCTAGACAGGGATTCAATCCAGGAACAAACGAGGGTTTGTCACAGGGCACCCCAGAGGGGAAAATGCTATGGGTCTGGCAGTGCTTTGGAATTCTAAAATAAAACATCAACACTCTGGACACAAAAATCAAACGAAGTTCAAATTTGAATCTTTAGTTTAAAGTGCCAATTTTTTAATAAAATATTGGAAATAAGTTGTTGTACCAAAACATCTTGGTACCGAAATGACCGTGTCTGTACCCAGGGCTTTAAACCACAGGCACCCAAACTGTTGACAGACGCTCTAACTAATTGAGCTACCTATAGGACTGGTTACCAGTGGTTATCCAACCAAGTCACTCTACACATCACCCATGAGAAGCAGATCTAGGATGGCAAATTCAATTGTTAAAAGTAAGGATTTGCAATCGTAGCAGATGCCAGAAATGGACTGGGTCAGTCGTCGATGACCAGGTAGCTCATTTGTTAGAGTGTCCGTGTGTAGCGCTCGGAGGGTCATGGGTTTCAAATCTATTTCTCTTTCTCCTCTTTACACAATCATGATGTCAATCGTGCGGTGCACAAGTTATTTTGGACAGTTGTGATGATGTGGATTATGCGATGCAGGGGGAAGGGGTAAGCAAGGGTCCCATTTCATTGATTTTTGATTTAAGAGTAGAAGACCAGCTTGCCGTAATCTTAATAGGGTCAATCTCTGAAACCTCCAATGTCAAAGGGAGATCTAGCTATCTCATTTCACATTTCCAATGAGGTAAAAAATGTGTGAAACGCGACTGAAACAGCTTTGCACAATTTATCCTTCCCTTTTTATGAATCAAAGTAACTCCAAAAAACATTCATTTGATTCAGACACGCCTGTTAGTGTTATGATCATTACACCCTGCAGGACTAGGGGAGTTTTGAGTTTATTAGTTTCGAGGGAAGTTTGAAATTTTTGGACAAAGTGAGGGAGTCTCCCTCCTATTGAAGGAGAGTTGACAACTATGAATCTTATGAGAGCACTGGCCTTTGGCATACGTGCGACATCAACGGGGCATGGATGATGGTACAGTCAGTGCTGCAAACGTCTGTACCCCAGGATATTAAGATGTATTTACCTGTCCGAGCCCACACAGGGGTCGCTGTCATCCCCAAAGTCAATATAGTCGTTGTCGATATCCATTATTAAACGAAATCACACCGTAACATCGGTTTCATTCACTGCACTAAACGTTTGTATGTCGTTAAACATGTGTAGTGCAACGAAAACACAAGTGTCCAATGTCGTACTAACGCTACGTTATTTACCTCACTTACAAGCGTTTACAAGAGCTGTGACTTTTAAAGAGGTTCCACAAGGGTAACATTTGAACACAGGAATGTTTCAGTTTTTATACATATTATTACCCCCATATGATATGGTTTTGAAACTGATCAGCAACAATTTAAATTCGATTGAGTTCATTGACCAAATGTTCATAGCATTCCACCTAATATGCAAGCAAACACACTTTAGTTATGAACACAATAAGATTACCAGCCAAGTTCAAGTTAAATTTCTTTCACAGAGCAGCGCACAGAAAAACATAAATTTACGATCCTATATACAAATGAGTAATGTAGGGAAGTCTAAGACATAAAGCACATTACAGTAATAACCATGCCCGATGTACTGACTACAAGACTTAAAGGAGAGAGGAGGTATGTTTCCCTGGGTACGGTGCGACAATACACCAGAGGTGGTTCCGTGGTGGTATACACATCCTGCCATGAAGCAGAGACGTATATATTAAAGAGCAAGTTGTCAATCTGTGTAATATATACGTCTCTGCATGAAGTAATTAAGGGGTTAATTAATTTTGTAATGTTTGGTCTAGAATAACTTCCCTTGGTCAGATAACCGTACTGAAATTCAGGTAAACAATGGAACTCAATCCCCCTTTTTCGCTATCACATAAAGTAAATAATCTATTTTTGCTATCACATAAAGTACATAATCTATTCGCTATCGTATAAAGTACATAATCTATTTTGACGCTCAATACCATTCCATCTCCCAGCCTCCATTATAAACTATGATTTCCGCTTCTAAATTTGCATAATAGTTACCTTTCTTAATCGCTAAGATAATCTTCAAATTCATGTTTTCTTTCAAAAGCTATTTATAACAAGCATATTAAGGTGAAATATAAATCAGCGAGATATAAAAAGGGCAAAAAAAAGTGTTTACCTCCGACCCTAACAATGATATCTCTCTCGAATGCACTCCATCCAAGATACAAACAAATTCATGGAAGCAACTTCATATATATCCTATATACCACAGTATATACCATATATATATCCTATATGCCACAGTATATACCATATATATATCCTATATACCACAGTTTATGCCATCGCTACTTCGTAGTTAGGTATCAAAACCAACCTTAAATCACATATTTATATACCAACTTTAAATCACATATTTTTATTTAAAATACCTAAAGATATGTTTGTGGTGATTTTTGTAAATTTGTAGTTTCTTAATTTAGACCCCCCCCCCCCCCCCCCCCCCCAAAAAAAACCCAAAACAAAACCAAAAATATAAAGGTATCATAAAACATAGAGAAATTAAATTCCAACCGACCTACCCTAATTTTCAGTCACGTTACCTGAAATATACATATTTTTTATGGCGATAAATTTTCACCTTTCCTTAGAACACGAAACACTATTCAGGGATATTTTTTTGATAGAAATTATGCGGAATAATCCTTCACACGTTCAACTCCATAAGCCATTCCGCCACCCTTTGACATCCACTTTTTAAAAGTCTATGAACATACAAATTAGGACTTATTTTCGATCATATTTGTAATATTATTTAATGAGTTAAATCTAAAAGATATGTTCTACAACTATTGTACTTGGCAAGACGGATGATTTTCCTACGGTCTAGGGCCGGCCTACCAACTCTGTGTGAACTACTCTGTGTCTCCTTCTTTTCGCTTCTTCATTCAGTTCCATTTTTCTTTCGTAGTTTGTTGACTCTTTTCTTGTCTGGACGACTGAAGAAACGTCTCAAGGTAATTATACATACCATGCACTTTACACTAGTTATATGTATTTGTACAAAACAACGTTTTATTAACATCAATGTAATCATACTATCAGTTAACATTGGTGTAATCTACTATCAGTTAACATCGATGTAATCCTACTATCAGTTAACATTGATGTAATCCTACTATCAGTTGACATTGATGTAATCCTACTATCAGTTAACGTTGATGTAATCCTACTATCAGCTAACATTGATGTAATCCTACAATCAGTTAACATCAATGTAATCCTACTATCAGTTAACATTAATGTAGTCCTACTATCAGCTAACATTGATGTAATCCTACTATCAGTTAACATGGATGTAATCCTACTATCAGCTAACATTGATGTAATCCTAATATCAGTTAACATGGATGTAATCCTACTATCAGCTAACATGGATGTAATCCTACTATCAGTTAACATGGATGTATTTCTACTATCATCTAACATCGATGTAAACCTACTATCAGTTAACATCGATGTAATCCTACTATCAGCTAACATTGATGTAATCCTACTATCAGTTAACATTGATGTACTCCTACTATCAGTTAACATGAATGTTATCCTACTATCAGTTAACATCAATGTAACCCTACTATCAGTTAACATTGATGTACTCCTACTATCAGCTAACATTGATGTAATACTACTATCAGTTAACATGGATGTAATCCTACTATCAGCTAACATTTATGTAATCCTACTATCAGTTTACATTGATGAAATCCTACTATCAGTTAACATTGATGTACTCCTACTATCAGCTAACATTGATGTAATCCTACTATCAGTTAACATCAATGTAATCCTACTATCAGTTAACATTGATGTAATCCTACAATCAGTTAACGTTGATGTAATCCTACTATCAGTTTACATTGATGTACTCCTACTATCAGTTTACATTGATGAAATCCTACTATCAGTTAACATTGATGTAATCCTACTATCAGTTAACATCAATGTAATCCTACTAACAGTTAACATTGATGTACTTCTACTATCAGCTAACATTGATGTAATCCTACTATCAGTTAACATTGACGTAATCCTACTATCAGTTTACATCAATGTAATCCTACTATCAGTTTACATGGATGTTATCCTACTATCAGCTAACATTTATGTAATCCTACTATCATTTTACATTGATATAATCCTACTATCAGTTAACATCAATGTAACCCTACTATCAGTTAACATTGATGTACTCCTACTATCAGCTAACATTGATGTAATCCTACTATCAGTTAACATGGATGTTATCCTACTATCAGCTAACATTTATGTAATCCTACTGTCAGTTAACATTGATGTAATCCTACTATCAATTTACATTGATGTAATCCTACTATCAATTGACATTGATGTAATCCTACTATCAGCTAACATTTATGTAATCCTACTATCAGTTTACATTGATATAATCCTACTATCAGTTAACATTGATGTAATCCTACTATCAGTTAACATTGATGTAATCCTACTATCAGTTAACATTGATGTAATCCTACTATCAGCTAACATTGATGTAATCCTACTATCAGCTAACATTGATGTAATCCTACTATCAGCTAACATTGATGTAATCCTACTATCAGTTAACATTGACGTATCAGTTGTTTAGTGATCCAATATTAGCCCTACGTTGTCACAGTGGTGTGAGCTCATGTGAGAAGGAAGACAACAAATTGAAGCGAACCAGACACTACAGAACGAATAGATGCATACAACTATTTCCTATCTGTGAAAATCCATAACTTCAATCAATTTTTAGAACAAATTACAGAAAAGAAGAGAGGTGGGCAAACGATGTATTTCTTTATCACGTCATTCAAAGGGATATCTTTAAAATCAATAAAAATCAGAGATTTTACGTAGTGGTACATCACCTGAAGGAGCGTTGAAATTTTTTAAATAATTGCAATTTAAAGATTTTCCGTAGGATTAACCGAGGGAAAATGAAGTACTGATCGTTTGGCGGGAGGTACCTTGTATATGTTAAGAATTGTATCAGAGCACGCAATTAGAAACTGTATATATATATATATATATATATATATAACCTCCACCATGGAAAGTAATTTATTATTATTCTCCAATTTAAATTTCGTTTTGCATAAATCAAATTTCGTGTTCTATGTATTCCCAGGTATGTTGAATCCACTGGCATACGTTATTTCCGAAACTTGATTGGTTACTTTTACGGATCCAACTCGATAATATGCAGCTAATTCTGCAGATAAGGGAGGCAGCCAAATTCGAATGTATTTGTTAATTATCGAAAAGCAATCCTGGATCATCACTCAGTCTAGCTGCCCTACATGAGTAAAATGATGGGAGCCCGAGATGATTAAATTATATGTAACTCCATATCCATTTATTTTAACTGGAAATATTCCAAGTAGGGAGACAAATAAAAAATAGACAAATTGGAGGTAGTCAGGGGTGAAGCCCCGCCCCTTTCAGACGCTGTAGAACTTAGCAATTACAGCGCCAGGTAATTAAGATGGAGGTGCCGGGAGAGGCATGGACTATCCCATTGCCTCAACCGCCCCTCTCACCCTTTAATTTGCAGACTGTGGCCATGAACACACACATCAATCTTTTCCTGTCCTTCACATGATTTTGTTCATGAAAATATGGAGGCTTGCAAATGACTTTTCGTCTTTTCGCTTTGTTGCTCGCGAAAAGACGCAATGACATGAACTATAATTTCAAACAGTATATCAAAGATACAGTTCTCTATGATTTAGACAAGGGGAATAACTCCTATTCCCTTATCATGGAGTGACATGCTTTAATTTATCTATAATCACGGACTTAGATAACTAATCTAATTCCGTGCTATAACTGACAGTCTTGCATTTAAAAAAAATATTCCAAATATGTTATAGTGTCTAAATTTGTAATTTTGTAACTTATTGAAAGTGATTGCAAGCCTTTGTTGTTTGTTTTCACAATTATAACCATTACTATTATCCATATGTTGTAAAGCGCCTTAGAGTAATTCTACAAATTATATAGGGCGCTATATAAATGCTGTATATTATTATTATTGATCCATTAACAAAGTGTTGCGGTTGATTGTTTGAAAATCGCAAAGTTGATAGCAGATCCTCAGACGTTGCTAGGTCGTCACAATGTCTTGGATCCAACTTGACATGGTAAAGATTATCTCCAAAATAATATCCCTCTGGTATGACACATATAACAGTATATACGTACAATGATGATTAAGTTCATTTGCAGATACGTACATGATTCTTTAATAACAAATTGTAATGTACATATTGTAGGGGAATATTACACTTGTATACATTTATTTTCAATTCAACAGTGTACACATTATCTAGCTTATTTTGAATTATTGTCACTGTCTTCGTATTTCTATTTCTGTAGTTTTTCCCCTTACTATAAAGTTTTTTTTTTCACGAGGTGGCTAAATATTTAAAGGAAATAACTTTTGGTGCGCCATTTTCTTCTTGATGATATAACTCAATTTTAAATTAAAATATTAATTTTGATTTTCACTCATCATGTCTCGAACCCTTCAATTAATTGACTTCATAAAATCTCGCTAAAATGTGAAATATAGAAAACCGGTTGTGTCTGTAATCACGGATTCCGTGCTGTAACTGATATTTTACGTTTCGGAACCTTTTCGCTAAAGTATCATACTATTCGTCTTAGATTTATTGCAGTTCTATAAACCTTTCATAATTTCAAGAGTTCGATTATCATATGAATCAGTCAGTTACCCCCCATATAGCCCCTTGACCCCAAAAAGTGTGACCTGAACTATTTTGAAAGGTCATTTCTGATTAGCGGAAGGAACTTGTACAGGTGTGATATCGGTGGTCCCTTTCTCAGTTTCAGCTATCACATCGAAGAATCGAGTAAATTATAATGTATTTGGTATTGCAAAACACACATGACACTTCGAATGAATAACAGGTGCGAGCTAACTAACTTAAAATACGGGAAAGAAGTATCTGTCAATGACAGCGAATCGACCAATCGTGTCGAAGCTTACAAGAGTCTAGTTGACGTAGCATGGTTTCTGATTCAAACGTGAAGACACAGTCGACGAAGGTGTGAGGGGTTATCATTCGTCGGGATGTCTTTATTAATGTGAAAATGTGCCATGGATAAAACACGAAAAATCATAAAATCGCCCTCTGTGAAGAGACGGAGTAGGATCACGCCGATCAACCAGCGGGTAAGTGAAAGTAAACCAAATGATCAGTCCGGCTTGACGATCAAACACTGAACTGAGTCAGGTGGACCAGCATCTGCTAAGAAAACCCCATTTCTTGAATCATATTGTACCTGCTTGAAAGACAGTAAAGCTTTAATAGCATAACTATACGATAATTCTAACAAAATTAACGTTGATTCAAATTACTGAGGTCTTTGCTCTATACTGTTAACGAACAACGTTTTTTACTCGCGTTTCTCGCGCCATTGAATGTAAACAATACACACACAGTGACACCAGCAGCTTTTGCAGTGGGAAATAGGCTTAGAAATGTTTTACGTTCGTGTGTTTTTTTATGGGTCAGATAGGTTATATGATCCATGATAAAGAGTTTAACAAAAAAATGGCATTTTATAACAATTCACAATTTTTATTTGCCCTTACTAATTAATAAATATCTATTAACTCACATTATATTAATTTGATCACGGTTTGCAAAATTTAGCATGGCACTATAGATGTAAATTACATGAAAAGGCTACATAGGGCTAACCTACGATAAGTATCGACTTTTTGATTAAAAGTATCCCTGTTCCTGATGAAAAACATGCTATTCAGCTTCAGGTCTTCAGGGTTCCTTCATTTATGCAGTAAAATTATTTGTAATTCTGACAACTCAACATAAACTTGAAAGCAACTTAATATTTCAGTTAATAGTTTACTTTTTAAGTAAGTAGAGACTATATTAATTATTCAAACGACACACTTTCACTGGTATCAGAATTCCATTATTTTGCACTGACTGTTTTCATGTGTTTTAAAACTCAGGTGAAAACTCTCTTGTATCAAAGTTAAAGATTTCATTTCATAAAATTTCACATCTAATAAGCTTATATTTACATTTAAAAATAAAAAAACAAAAGTGTACTCTTTGAAAATGAGAGCAATGCACTTGATTGCATTTGAGCTGGTTTTCCAAGGATATCTAGTCATGTCATCAAGATCTTGTTTAATATTCAAAGGAAAAAAATTATTGTTCCAGATTCATTGGACCTCAGATCAAAGACATAACAACATGTAGTTTTCACCATCACACAACTTTCTCAAATATACACTCTGGGATATTGACAGGTGAAAATGTGTTATGCTTGTGAGATATATAAGCGAAATAAGGAAACTAATGGTTTATAGTGTGAGGATTTCCTATCATAAATTACATTGCAACATTTAAAGTTGTAATATTTTAGGCTGTCCATATCATGCTGGAGTGACATCACCAGTCCTTCGCTGCCCTCTCCAGGTGGTCTTAGGTCAGGTAAAAAGTGACAAATCTTTTATAGATACTTGTATCTGAAGTGACTGTCATGTCAAATTCAACATTAACAGTCGTTTTGACAGGTGTTGGTTGATTAAGTAGGATTGTCAGAGTTGTAAAATGAATTCTATTCCAAGCATGCACATTAATAATGTAAATGAAAAACAATATACTCTGAAAATATATGGTAAGTAATTGAAGCACAACTTATAAGCATTACCTGTGGTACTTTTAATTTAAAGATTCTGCTCTGTGCTATCAGTGGTCTTCATGCGTCTAATATCAGGGCTGTTTCTGGGGTTGTAGGTATTTTGGAAATAGCCCTGAGCCTCATTCGGTTACAAACTGTCTTATTTACACTCCCCTTTCAAGATTATAGGATTTTCCAAAAACATAAAATTTTGTTATTTAAGCAAATAAGAAAATTGAAATTGTGTTCTACAAGAGGCAAAATGAAAAATATTTTCAAATTTAAGTTTTGTGATTTTCTTTATCAAATTGACAATTAAAATGTCTGTAGATCATTGGGAATTGGAATGGTGCTGAGTTTCGGTGCCAAATATGTTTGCAGGAAAACTTTTTTATCATTTGATGATGATATCATAATTGTCCAATTATTACCACATTTTGTTTACCATGCATTGTTGGTGACATTTGTGTTTGTATGTGATTGAATATTGTCTGTTATCCTTGATGGAAGGTTTTAATTAATGATCATGATACGGAAATAAGACATACAGCTTTTGTACTAATATATATATCATAATGATATACTGCTCGTACTTGCGCTGCAAACATGAAAATGATGTGTATTGTAATAATGATATAAATATATATCATTTACAAAGGCATAGGCAAATATTTAATAATGAAACTTTTGAAACTATTATCACAGCTTTTGAAATAATTAAATGCCTTTTTGTTTAACATTTTGATATGTTATGACCAATTCATAGTACATGCGGTTTTATAGAGAACAAGATATGTTGTGACTAGCGGGTTAATACTGCTGCTGTGATATAGTACCTGAGATTTTACATGTACCTACAGAGCCATTATCAATGTGACTATCAGACTGGGTACTAAACATTGGAGATAGTAGCTAGAAGTTGTAAAATGATGTAGATGGGAACTGGCATGGATAGCCAGCCTCAGCATCTGGTTGTGATTATATCTTTGGTATGCAAGTACCCAGATGGATCCACTCATAGAAGAACAATAGTTTATACACAGCTAATGTATTTATGTGTGTTGTCATCTATGCCATCATAACAGACATGATGTGCATACAAACATGTACTTTATTCATGCTGTGCTACATGGCCATTATTTGTATGGTCTTGGCATGTCAAGATAGAGTAGACAGTTGTCACATAAGAATGTGTATACATGTATTATGTACTCATTTTGAAACATTTGGAACAATTTTTCAAGTCTGTAAGTTATTTCACATCTTTTTATTATAATTTATTAGGAAAAAATGATGAAAGGCTTTAAGCTTCTATATCCACAATATATCGTTTTAGTTATATATAATTAAATTATATCATTGATGAGTTCACATTTTTTTCCCCACTAGTCCACTGCTAATATTAAATCAGCTTGCCTGAAATAAATTCTGCAAACAATTATAAACATGGTATTTATCATATTCAGGAATTACTATTTTCTTTTAGAAAATACATCTCGGTTTATATTATTATTTACCTATATTATTATTTACCCAAAAACTGATTAACTTAAAACTTAAATCTTTGAAAAAAATGAGCAAGTCACTTTCCCTAGTCAAAGCTGAAAAAAAAAAAAAAAAGTGCGTCGGACTAGTGGATTTTTACACCCTGGAATATAATGTCTTTTTGCAAATTGATTCAGTTTAGTAAGTTTATTTACATAATTTTTAAGTTCATGCATTTAACGGCATGAATTTGTTATGTAATTTTGTATGTCGGTATGGTATGTTTTATAAAGATAGTGTTTCAGTTACCAGATAGTGTTGATGTGTTGTAAAGTTTTATAAATGACACCTGTGTGTGTTTATTGGGATAGGAGGGGAGGGGTGACTGCAGACTAGCACTGCAGTAGCGACAGCTCCGTTCACACCTGATCTGTTGTTCTGTCTAGGTAATTAGGACTGGTCACTATAGGTAAATAGTTACTGATGGAGACTGGCTACAGTTACAACTGTTAGTGGGTAATCAATTCTGTACACCTAGCCAATTTACACAAAAGGATAATAGGGAGGGGGTAATGCTGCCCACCTGTATAGGGTGTTATTTGGGATAGAAGAGGATAATAGGGAGGGGGTAACATTGATACTGTCCACTTGCATAGTGTACAGTGTAACTGTTTTTTGGGTCAGAAGAGGATAATAGGGAGGGGGTAATATTAATACTGTCCACTTGCATAGGGTACAGTGTATCTGTTATTTGGGTCAGAAGAGGATAATAGGGAGGGGGGAATATTAATACTGTCCACTTGCATAGGGTACAGTGTAACTGTTATCTGGGTCAGAAGAGGATAATAGGGAAGGAGTATTTGGACAGCCTCACAGGGCAGCTGAGACCAGTCTGTTGATTGGAGCCAGCTACTGTGGGTGTCCTGAGCAGGTCAACTTGTTATACCTTGATGTCTATATAGCTACACAATCATATTGATTCATACAGATATGTAGTATGGTGGAAGTATAAAAGTCATTGGCTTGTTCCTTAGATAATAACAACTTGTGAATGTCATCATCAACTATATACTTATAAGACTAAATCACTTGCGTCTCACTAGAAAAGAATAAGATTTAGTACAGATACATTTTAAATAACTTTTGTTTTGGTATATTGAGTGAATACATATATATCCTTGTTATACTAGATCTTCTGTCTTTAAAAAGTTAGCCTTAGATTTAGCTCCATTTTTTTCAAGGATTCTCAGACATTAACTTTTACATGTCCGTCTGGTATAGAATGTACTGAGTGATAACTGATATTGTATAAAATGTATTTACTGCATGATTGATATAAGAATATGCTTACATTTTGCGTGTGATTTTATGAGAGATATATATAATAAATAGCTGTAGATAAGGAGATACCCTTGGTTAAGTTGGTATAATATAGGTGTTAATGTAGATCATTTGATACACTACAATAAACTTTAAAAAATATAAGATCAGATAATGAGATATAAACCCTGTCAGATATTCATACAGTTAAGATACACTATATATATATATGTACATGACACTGGCAGTATGACTGCAGTAATTGAACATGTATATATCAGATTTATTTACAAGTTCTTTAGATTATGGGAAGTTGGTCATGTAAATTTATGTAAACAAAAATCATTATCCATCTTAAATCAAGTCAGGTACATTTAATTGAGGATGACTTGTGATCTTCATAGTAAATTATATAGTTTCTAGGCTATAGAACCTGGAGTCAGTTGGTACATGAGAAAGTTCCATTAGAGATGCGTTGTAACTAAGATGTTTACATGTAGTAACTGTAAAGGTAAGCTGTTGTAATAAGATTTTTAAGCTTCATAACCTTTTACAAAAAAATTAGATAAGAAGTAAACTTTATGAATTTTTTCTTGTTGATAATAAATAGTTTAAGATCAAAGGAAGGAACACTTTTATAATTACAAAGTTTACAGTTTTGTAAATTTTAAATTGGAACCATGATCATTTAAGTTTGGCTTTATTGCAAAA